CAAAAGGCCAAATCTGACTGCTAGGAGATGTGCAGGAAAGAAAATGTCATGCTATATCCTTTCAGTATGGCAAGTAAGTTCCTGATACTGTCTTAACCTACAGCTCATTTATATTTTAAGTTTAAAAAGAAAAAAGAAAAAAAAAAGGGATTTGATACCAATACCTGGAACAAGTCCAAGAATATCATAAACTTTGGGAAATAAAGAAGGGACAAATCTTCTGAACTATCAAACAGGCTCTGTAATATATTGGTCTTCCTTGTCCCAAATCCAGTAGGATGCACCTAATATCAAGTGCCAAAGGAACAGAAAACTGAAGGCAATGAACACATTTAAAACTTCCCCAAGGAGTGGTTTCAATTTTACTGCTAGAGAGCTATTTGTGTCTGAGAAGTATTTGTCCATAATGGAAATTGAGGTATTCTGTACTGGGGCATCACAAGAGAATAGAAGAATGCTGTCTTCAGCAAAGGTATCAGCTAATCTTTTGAATTAAGAGAAGTTCTGGTAATGGTTTCAGTGTATCTGCATGAAACTTACAGATTGTTCTGGTGTGGCTGATAAGCTGTATGGCTCTAGAAAACTGCATTCCAGAATATAATTCAGAATTCCTTCTGATGACGATTTTGAGACTCAAGTGTCCTTTTTTTCACTTGTCTCTAAGTCTAAACCTTCTGAAATGATGGTTTTTGCTGCAGTAAATATATATTTTATATTCAGATACCAGGACCTTGGTAAGATAGATGGCCCTTTCAGTCATACATAACTTCTCAGTTTAGAATGCTATGCAATTAGCAATCTCTGCATATGTAAACAGCATATTATATGAAGATCTGCTACTACTAGAGGTTATACTGGGAACTTCTTTGTCATGAAGAGAGGGGACAGAACCTGATCCTCAGGTTCCAAATTGAGAAACAATAACTACAGGTGAAGAAAGTTCACATGCAAATCCTGTAGCTTTGACACATCACAGACAAAAAGCACAAACTTATTTTCATTTTAGAATTTGTTTAGAGAAGATATGTCATTCTAATGGAGAAGAATGTGTAAAAATACTGAATAGGCAAATGCACTGCTTTACATGCAAATTCAGTTTTCTGATAGGAAATGTTTTTGTGGAGTGTTGCTTTTTTTTTTTTTTTGCTCAGAAGCTTGAAAAGGCATTACTATAGTTAATATATTCAGTATTGATATAAAAAGCTTATGAGAAAAAAAAATGCAGAAGAAATAAAAGGAAATGCATTTGACTTTCATGAGGTTAAATAGAAAAGCCAAAATAAGTGCACATATGCAGGTTTTTTTTTGTTGCTGCTTTTGTTTGTTTTGTTTTGTTGTTTTGTTTGCTTGTTTTTGTTTTCATTTTATTTGGGGATTAGGTCCACATTGCTATTTGTATATTTTCTTCTCTCAAATATGAGAGGGAAAATAGTAGTGTTGGTTGTCTGGAAGTACCCTAGCAACTATGACACTATGACATACCTGTCAAGTACACCAGTGTGCTTGATAAAGCACTATTGCAAACAGTACATGCTTTTGCACAAATCATGCTGAGAAGAGAAAAATGGATTTATTTTGCTGCAGACTGTCAAGTTTCCAGCTTTTCTTCCAGCCTCCATTATTCTAAGTGAAAGGTATGAAATCACTTTATTTTATCTATCATTGGAGAAAATAAATAAATATTAGAACATGGCTTAAAAAAAAAAAAAAAAAAAACCTGAATAAATTTTCCAAGTTTCCAGAAACAGTAATAATATTAGGCAACTTTTCTAATTGCTGTAGTGAATACATTCCAAGGAACTTTTACAAATACATATTTCATTCTCTTCCTTTTCAAATATACTACATTCCTTGTGTTCTGATTTTATTTATGTCAGCTAATATTGATATTCCTCAGCTGAAGAATAATCATATAAAGCCAAATTCTTTTTTTTATAGCAATATACATTTTCTTCATATCTGGAAAAGAACAGTCTTAGGATGTTACCATGAGGAAAGAAAACAGACAGACCTGCTCTTACCTTGTTATACAAACATTTAATACATGATGGTCCAACAGGAACAGATGATAGGAAAATGGATGATGTGACATATTTTTGTGATTCCTGGATACTGCAAAACTTCTTGCACTTTTACAGACTACCACAGAGTACAGTCACCCTGATATAATGAATGGTGTGAATCTCCCATCTGAGGAAAACCTAAAAGCTAAAGCTCTATTCATTCGTTCTGAGTGATCCTCTGATACAGCTTTGTAACTGAGTTGCTTTGAGTTTAGCCCATTCTTTTTTCGGATGCCTTGAGATGGCAATGAAGAAGACTGTTTTGTCACACAGTTGTCCTCAGCATTCTGCCAATTTTCTGTTAACAGCTAAGCAAAGTGACATCTGGCACTGCATGTGGCAATTATCTTTAGTCTGAAACTATTTTTCTTAAATCAAAGCCTGAGGGCCTGAATTATCATTTCCCTGCATCTTGCCAATTACGGAGTATGAATTTTACACCCATTTTTGCTAATAGAAATTACTACTGAAATGAAAGACACCAAAATACTGAAGTACTAAGGCTTATAAGGTACCATATAAATATTTGTTATTTTTCTCTCTGCACAAATTTTAAATCCCTGAGAATTTAGAAAATAACAACCTCTGTGGGGCAGATTCAAAATTCAGTCAGTTATTAGTGTAGTACCCACTGACTGAATTCATTTTTTTCATTGGTTATTATTAGGTTATTTTCTGAGTGGAATTTAATTGCTGAAATGTAGAAAACTAGTGTCACTTTAATGCTCTATGCAATCTCAATTGAACTCTGGTCTCTCCTAGAGAACAAAGTTTGGGTTTCCACAGAATCTGTGACAGGCCCATGAAATCCATTCACCTGTCTTTAAAATAATTAAAATAGTTAAAATAGCTCTAGATACTTAAATTAATTTAAAGTTAATATAGTGTGTTTTCTAACTTTGTCTTATTCTCACCTCCACAAGCAGTACTCAGCATTACCCTTGTCTAGAACAAAGACAGCAAGAAAACATAAAGTGTAACCAGATTTACTCTTCCTAATTCTTATGAATACAGAGGCATTCTAAACTAAATTATTCTCATTTATAAAAAGAGGAAATATTATTTTCTAACAAATAGCATTATGATTCTTGGAAACAAAGGAGTTTGCTTTCGATAGTAAAGTGATGACTTCTCAAAAACGTTAATAAGGAAATTGATTTGTTAACAAAGACAAGTGGTCAGATCCTCAAGTTACAGAAAATAGACTAGCACCATTTAAGACGTTATCTTTATGCAAATTTGAAAGAACTGAGAATCTGACTTGTGTATATAATATAGAAAAAAATATGTCAGAAACCTATAAACCTCTGTGCAAATAAAATGAAGAACTCACATTTGTATGTACATATAGGCAATACATCAGCAGTAAGATAAAGAGTGTATCTCTGAAATATTTATCAAGACTTCAATGTATTTATCAAGACTTCAATGTAAAATTTGGCATTCTTATGTAGAATTGTAGCAATTCAGTTGATCCTTAGCTCAACAAGTGAAAATTAGCAAAATGGAAGTTCTTCATGCATAGTCAGAAGATTTACTCAGAGAAAGATATGTGAAGGTCAGAATCTGTGTTTTGGCACTGCATCAGTCATGCACAGAAACTGAATGACCTTACTGCACTCAAGACAAGACAATCCTGTCTACATGACAACAATGAAAAACATTGTCTTCTGACAATTTCTGAACAATTCTAAACTTGTGCATGGAGAAATTGCTGCCTTATTCTTTAAAAAGTGAATTCTAAAAAAAAAAAAAAAAAAGACATTTAAAAATTATTTATTTCATTTTCACTGACCAGTTCCTTAAATTTCCTGAAAGGCAGCTAGGAATAAGCTTTTTTCTTTTCTAGTGAGTTGGAAAAAAAAAAATAAAAAAAAAATTATACAGAATAAATAGTATATATAAATCTAGCTAGAATTCATTGCAAAAATAAATCTGACATGTTCTACTTTTTGTATTTTTTCCCACAACACTTTACTTTCTTCTAGATTCTGCAAAATATAACATTATTGTACAAACAACAGCTAAATACTATTACTGTTCCTCACACATATATTTTGTTGCAGTTATTCTATTTGGAAATTGCTTTTGGGTAGTGAAGGAAAGAACCTGCTTTTTCACCTGGAAGTTCCTAGTTGCAGCAAACTAATTTCCTCCAAGGATAGTTAAAGCCAGCACAGAAATTATATTTATAGATAGATATATAAAAATCAAACTTATTAAATACAGCAATATATTTACAGCTGAACCTCAATATTTTTTCCAATTGCTCATGATCGTGAGTTGAAACACCAGTGATGCACAATATTTTATAGCAGCAGCTTAAGAAAAGATTGTCCAAACTTAAGTAAAGCTATCAGATAGGGTATCAAAAGGCTTGCAGTTCTTCTTGTAAGATGTTGGGTAAACACATATATTTTTTGTTCCTCATACTGATAAAGAATCCATATGATGAAGTTCCATATAAAATATTAAATACACGCAGGCTCTCTGTCAGTGGATGGATACACGAAATTTGTTCTTTTTTTTGTTTGTTTTTAACGGATATTTAGCATGACAACATTTTAAATCCTTTCATATTTATTATAAGAGTACGTTAGGTGTGGTTGTAGACAATGGTCATGTATGCAGTACTCATACTAACACTTAATACACTCTAAGCTTCTAACTACAAACACAGGTGTGAGGGCTTGTTTATTTTTCTTTTTGTGTTTGTTTTAAGGAATCTAATTAAACTAGGGGAAAACCAGAGAGTACAGGTAACAAACATTTTTTCATAGGTTAGGTACACAAAAGAGAATGCCATACACACCTTTAAAAAATGCTAAGGAATATTGCAACAAGCAATCTTCCTCTCACAGTTCAATCACACAATTTGTGTTTAACTTGAGACATATTGTCTACACACAACCCCATGGCTTCCCACAGTGATCCCTGAGTTTTTTAGGTTTTTTTTGTTTGTTTGTTTGTTTGTTTGTTTGTTTTTGCTAGGATTACTGCTGTGCTTAAGTTCTAACTGTTAACATGTCATTACAAGGCACTTTTATTTTCAACAGTTCCAACTTAAAATGGAATACAGAAATTTGGCCCAAGCCCAATGTGTTATCACATCATGTTTGCTGCTCAAGGACTTCCAGGTAGTCAGGCTCAGCATGTAAATTAGCCTTGAGTTCAAAATACTCATTTTTAGTTTGTTCTAAATAAACCTTTCTTGGTCTGGAGTACATCAGTGACTCCATTAGTTTTAGTTCCTCATGTGTTCCAGGATAATGTACTTCCATTTCAGGCTGGAGTTGAACAATATTTTTTCTTAAGTACTCTGTGATTCCAAGTTGCTGCAGTTCCCTCTCTTTTTCAAGAATGTTTCTGTACAAGCAGCTGGCATCTTGAAAAGACAGAAATTCTGCGGATTGATCTGCAGCCGTATATTTGACATTTGAACCAGTAAGTGGTGAACTATTCTCTCTTTCCAGGAGACTTCTGCAGAGATGTTTGGAATCATTAGTTGCTTTCTCATTTTCCTCTTCTTGTTGTTCAGTATGCTTTGGGCTGAAGGATGGGCCGTGATAGACCTGAACCATGGGAGTAATCATACGTTGCTCATAGAGAGCTGCAGCTGGACGCTCTGTTGTGTGATGTGTTGTTTTATGCCCATACATACTATACTGAAGGTGAACTGGGCTACTATCCCTCATTTGTTCATTGGCTTGTTTCTTTTTACATCTTCGCCGCCGATGCAGAACAAGAACAACTATTCCTGCTGCACAAAATACAATAATTATAAATACAATTAGCAGTCCCAGTATTAGAACAGAAAGTGGGACAGCATCTGTAAGCGACTGCAGGATGGTGTCTGCAGTGTTGCTAGTAGTAGAACTAGAAGTTGCTATAACAACAAAACTGGCATGAGTTGGTAGGGCAGGGCTGTTTATTAAATCTGGACACAAGACTTCACTGTTGAGGGATTTCAGTTTTTTTTTTTCTAAGTGTCCTGGAGATTTACAGAAAATGTCACCCATCATTGTACTCTTACTCAGCTTTTGTATCCATTTTTGCAGTCCAACTGAATCACATGTACAGTCCCAGGGGTTGTCTTCAAGTTCAATTTGTACCAACATATCCAGTTCATCCAAGACATTGCTCACAGGCAAATGAGCAAACTGGTTTGTTTTCAGATTTAATCTGGCAAGTGGCACCCCAGAAAAGATATGGGGTGGTAAAGTCTGCAAAAGGTTATTATTTAAGTAGAGGACCTTAAGTTTTGGCATTGTATTAAATGTCCCTGGTAAAACTTCTTTGATGGCATTATATTCAAGGTACAAGTATTCAAGGTGCTGAAGGCCAAGGAAAAGATTCTGACTCAGCTTTGTAAGATGATTGCCATTGAGATACAGTTTCTGCAGTCTAGTCAGATTCATGAAAACTCCTTCCTCAAGGATTTCAATACGATTGTTCCCCAGATGAAGCATTTCCAGACTAGCATAGTCCATAAGATCTGACTTAAGTAATGTCTGAATAATGTTTCCTGCTAGAATAAGTTTTTTAGGATTTGTAGGAGGAGGTCCTAAATCAGACAGGCTTTCAATATTTCGCTCCTGACAGTGCATAAGAACTCCTGAGAGCATATGGCTGGTGCAGTGACAGGGAATGGGACAATAGATTCCTGGAAATTGTGTAGTTGGTTTTGAAGTATGAAGCATTAAATTTGTTTCTTTAGTAGGAGCTTTCAGTATAGGAATGACCTTAGTTGACAGGTGACTATCACTTACAGAGGTGGTTACAACCAAGGGCAGTGACCCTGAAGGATCTTCAAGTTCATTGACAGTAGGAATGGGACAAAGCGATTCTTTTTTCAACCTGTTTAATATGCTGCCTTTGATAACTGGAGGACTATTGCATACAACATCTCCTATTATTGACTGAGGAGGCATGTTTTCCAGCCATGTCTTCAGCTGAAGCAAATCACAGTTACAAGCCCATTTGTTATCTTCCAACTGAAGGTCTAGTATTCTACCGATGTGTTCTAAAAAGCCAACATATGGTAGTGTCTGTAACTGGTTTCCCCGAAGATCTAAATGAGTCAATGGCACAAAACGAAATATGTTTGGAGGAAGGTACTCAATAGCATTATCATTCAAAATAAGCACTTTAAGCCTACTGAGCTTGCTAAAGGCACTTGCTTCAATCACTGTGATGAAATTGTTGTCCGCCTGAAGAAATTCCAAATTTTCCAATCCATCAAACGTATCTTCTTTAAGTGTTTCTAAAGAATTGTGATTTATATGAAGTTGCTTAAGAAGGTTGAGACCATTAAAAGCCCCAGGCTCAATATCTGCAATATTATTAAATCCAAGATGTAGAGAGATAGCATTAACAAGGCCAGCAAAATCATTCACATGTAGCATTGTCAGGCCATTGTTTAACAAATTAAGATGGAAAGGCCGTGATGGTGGGACATTTATTTCTGACACCATCTTGATGCCTCTTTCTTCACAGTTTATAATCATAATGTCATCCTTTTCTTCACAGGAACACAAACTCTGACAAGATCCTCTGATTCTAGTAAAAGATGTTTCTGACTGGAAAGGATCAGATGCAACCAGAACTGAACATACCACAAAAATCCAGAGCTTCATCTTGCTCAGCAGATTCTATAATAAAGAAAGGGTGAGGGGAGGCATGGAAAAAGAAAAAGCAACAGTCATGATTTCACAATTTGTGCAATTTGTGTTTTGTATGTTTTTTTTTTTTCTTTCCTTTTTTTTCTTTCTTTTTTTTCTTTCTTTTTTTGGGGGGCAGGGAGAGGGAGGGGCAGGAAGGGAGATTGCATGTCCCTTACCTGCCCTGTCTCAGCTTTTCTTGAAATATTTAGTTTAATGTACTGAATCAAGAGACAGTCATAAGGAGTGCTTCAGTATTTTCATGCTGATACACCTCAGTAGAAGATAATCAGAAAAGCATTTCCTATATATAAATATAAAATTTATATAGGATATGGTTTACCAATGTACAGAAATAGTAAATTACTGCCCCAAGCAATTTACATCAAAGCTTATAAATTTCAGATTATTTTTTTATGTCACCATATAACATTGCAGATTTTAAAAGTACCTTTCTAAGTTCAGCTTAATTTTGTCCAGCTGCTAAAGAGATGATACAAGTTTTGGTTTCATTCAACAGCGTGTTTTAAGAAAAAAATATATATACTAACAGGATAGAGGGAACTTCTTTGATTCTGCATTACGTATGTAAGTTAAAAGTTATTTCCTCTGTAATTCTTGTTTCTTCAAACTGGGAAGGAAGTAGACAAAATACTGTTTTTCTTGTAGATAATTTTTAATGTGCAAAATGTAGTTCATGTATATTTAGTAAAAGAACACATTTTAAACCTCTTTAATACTGTAACATTATTATATAAAATATACACATAATAGTATATACAATTAAAGAAAAAGAAGAGAGAAAATAAACTGCAGCATATTTCAGAAAAATAGGTGGGCAAGTAACAAAGAGATTATTTGGGGACTGATTATTCGGTTCCTGTCAATTATTATAGATATTAATTGACACAAGAATTCTGAAATGTACACTGAGTTAACTTTGCCTTACTACTTAAAAACTATTGGCAGCATCATCAGTAAGTTATGTAACTTAAATTGTCAGCCACCATACTGGTCTCAAACTTTCAATACCTGAGAAATGCATCATTACTGTACAACTGTGAAGTCTAGAGCAAAACGTACACATTTGAGTCAACTATATGTTATTGTTTGAAATTTGTTTATACTACATTTTTCAAGTGAAGATTCTCTGTTTCTATCTAATTGTGTGAATGAAATTTTTTTCTTGATATGTGGGATAGAGTTAAATCTTCAAATGGAATGGAAGATTTACTACAGAACAGTATTTTGGTGCACTCCATTCTATGACTGATATAAGCAGGTTTCTTAAGAAATCCAGATACTAAATTTCTATTAATTTTCAAAGTAACTTATAACAGAAAGTACAAAATGTCACTGCACAATTAACTATCACTACAGAATTAACCACTTCAAGTGTTAATTTCAGAAGGATTAGAGCCCTTTCTGAGAATATATTCAACTACATGCATGAGCATTCTCAAACTATGACCATATGTTTTGATGTTTCTCAAAAATACGTTTTTAGTAATGGTGGTACCTTAGTAGAAGCACCTCTTCTCAAGGATGCAAGGACTTACATATGTAAGCACCTTAGTGCTCTGGTATGAGTGTTTTATACACACACACACACACCAACAGTAAATGTATGCAAAGTGTGTTTTCTCCATTAGAAAATTTTGATAACTGGAAGCAGATGTGTGAGTTTAGAAGTAGTGAGTGCAACTTGTCGTGTTTGAAAGTGCCCCCTAAATACATGTCTGTTTCAGTACAGGAAATAATTTGTTTTGTCTCACAGAATAGTCCTTGAACTCTAACTGCATATGTTTACTATATCTTATAAGTTGCTGTTTTTTTTTCTCTCAGTGTGTATAGGGTAAGATACAACACAACAAAACTTTATTTTGATATAGATATTTTGATACAGATATTTGATATTTTGCTATATTCCTAGCAGAATAATGCTAGGATCAGAGTATGCTAGAAATTTATTTATGATTTATATTCATCAGTGTATTTTCCACTGACCCAAGGTAAAAGAACACAGGCTCTTTTCACAGACGCCATCTCCAAACCTACTGTATGACTAGCTGAACCTCTGTCTACACTTTTTTTTTCCCCCTATAGAAATTCCAGCCTTGATCTGCATCAAATGCAAACTGTAGTTAAAAAATCCCTGGGAAAACATAAATGAAAAAAAAGAAAACTAATCTGAAAAGCATGTTGCATTCAAGCACATATTTAAAAGAATATTTATTAAAATGAAAGCCTTCTTCTTAGAAATGAAAATAACATTTGTTACCAGTTGGAAAGCAGTCACATTTTAATCATCATCATACTTCTGTGGACAACACTGCTAGAACTCTCTCACACACATAAACACACACACACACACACACACACACACACTTAGAAAATAATACAAGAATTCTTTTATTTTCCCTTTTTTTAAATTTTGGTTTTGTTCTGAACACTCAAGAACATCTGATGAAGCGATGGGCTATAACTGTAAAATGAAAACTGCTTTCCAGTGGCAGATGATCAACATGAACTCACAATGAAATAAAATTTGGTCTAAAAGACTTAGTAAGTTTGATGTTTTTCTGTTTCCTGGGGTGAGCTTTCTCAGAGAATTCTATCTAGTAACTTAAGTTAGCTGAGTTAATCTGCTTTCAGTAGGTCACTGTCTAACTGCATAATGTGTTTTTGCAGTATGAATTCTGAACGACAAAAAATGTCACAGTGTTCTCTACAAAGCAATGTTGAATACTTTCAGAATTAATCACTTTACAGCAAAGAACTCACATGATTGACAAGTAACAATCAACAACAGGTTCTTAGGACACTGAAATTGCTTTACTATTATTTTACATTTTACTTGGGTTCTATTTTTTGCTTGTTTTAATTCAACTATTAAAAAAAAAAAAAAAAAAAAAAAGGAATTTCAAAACCTCCATCCTGGAAGTGGCACTTTCTAAAAGCCTTTAGGATTGTTTATTAATTTCTGAAGGGAACACAGTCAAAGTATTTAAGACAATTTTTGCACTTCAGAAAATAAAAGGTAACATCTATTCATTCCACCTTCAACTGACATCATGTCAGTGTTTCCTTAATAAGCATATTCAACTATTCAGATATACTGTTCACAAGATGAATAAATGCACCGGGAAGACTGTTTGCAGTAAGAGTATAAACCACCATCATTTAACCTAAAAGTAATTCAAAATCATACAGAAAAAAATAAAACTAATTGGTACTGAGAAATGAATTTCTTAAACTCAGAGCTACTTAACAAACTGGAATATTTTACTTACCTGTACAGCAGTAAAACCCCCTGAAATGCTCAGTAATGCACAGTTGGAGCAGCTGTGTGAATGCAATGCAATTTTTTTCTGTGAAAAATAGATACTTTCTTCTCAGTTTATTTGCTGAAAGCTCTCTTGATACTACAGCTCCATATAGTCAAAATCCTTGTTCAGAAGACGAAGTACAAAGCGTACAACTGAAAAGAAAAAAAATCCAGACAGAGTGCACATTAGACCATCCTGTAAGCAGTTTTCCTTTTCTCTCAATTAAAATTCACAGCATACTTCACAGCTATGCTGACTTTTCTGCATACAGTTAACTGTTTGCAAGCACTCGAATGCAGTAAACAAACAAGATGTTAAGCACAGCTTTACTTGATCACTCGGCTGGTCAGATTTTTAGATCCTAGCTGCGTCTGTGTTCTCTGTGCTCTTTCTAGTCTTTCTTGTTAGCTCAGTTTGTTATTAGTCAGATTGCCAGGGGCTGGGAGGTAGGCGTGAATAAAGAGACTTCTTGGCTTTTGACTCAGCCTTTAAGCCCTTCCCCATCAGAGAGCTTTAATCTGCCAGTGTCATTTAATATAAGATCTAGCTCCACCTTGAGACAGATCAGCTCTTCCTCCTGCAACGTGCAAACCTCCTTTTTTCCCGTGTCTAACTGAATCTCAAAAGTAAAATTCAGCTACTTATTTTGTGGATAACTGTTAATTGTTAATTTTGTGAAGCAGTAAACCACCTACTGTGGCTCTTGTTCATTTCTTCTCTGAGACAGATCTTGCATTTAATTTATATCTGTAAATGCTTGCTTTAAATACTGTAAACATTCCAGACTTAAAGCACTTCACAAAACATGCCATAAGGGAAACATTGTCCTCTGCAAAATATGTGTATCACAATTAAATGCAGGATTATTCAAAAATATAAATGAAACTGTACAGCTTAGTTCAGTCAACTCACTGTGACTGGAGTAGAAAATTATTTACGATTTTGTCTTTTATTTCTGAAAAATAAAAAAATACATACTGATTATGTTTGCACAGTGATTGCAATCAGTCTTATTTAAAAATACCCCTCTTGTTCTGCAGGACGAGAACTGGGTTAGTTATAATTGGCTCTTTTACAGATGCAGAGTTTTAGTACCTATCCATGTGAGATTCTGTTCTAATTCCATGAAATATTTCTTTGATGAGAAATGGTCTGTTCTCAGTGTGACAGCATTCTTAAATGTGTGTCTTCTGAATAAAGTATTAATTTCTTTGTGTTCATAAACAAGTGATTAGCAGACCCTGTAGGACTACAGAAAAATGTTTCATTCATCCAAGGAACAGCCTTCCTACACTGCTTCAGCTGAATTTACATGCTGTAAATGCTGTTTTCTTGTTCATCCTACTACCACAAGGCCACAGACATTTTGGTAAGCAACAACAGATCTGGTACTTGGGCATATTAATAATGTACAGCATATAATTTCTGATTTTGTTTGTTCTGATTGCATCCCGATTACTTAACAGTTTGCTTATTAGAGGCCCTATACCAGTCAGGCTCCAGTAACTCCTTTTGTGCTGATAGCCCTCCAGGTGAAAAGGTATAATGGTATATGTTCCATATAATGTACGTTACCAAAATTTTATCAAATATATATACATACATGTCTTTATAACCTTTATAATGGCCTAACAAGCCAAAACCTTTATAGAGGCTTTGGCTTGTTAGGAGAAAATCCTTTGTGCTTAATTTTTTACAGGTTCTCATACCTCATACTTGAATGAGATGGAGAATATCAGTAATTATACATTTGTGTCATAAATGAAAACAACTTTACTACACTTTTAAGTTAACATCCACTAGAGTAAAACATGATCACAAAAATGTTTCCATAAATCAACTACTAGAAAACAGAAATGCATTTCATAATCATATACAATTAAAAAAAAAACACTGAGAATGTTTGTCATTTCTTATTATTCCTTACTTATTTAGTAGATTTTTAAAAGCATGGCTAATGGTTGTTTTTCTACCAAAAAATGAAAGAATCGTTTATTAAGTTATTATAAAGAATGTTTCTGGAAGTGCCTGTTGATGGATAAGACTGAACTGATACGAATTTTGCAGATTCCACTTAAAATGTTCATCTTTATCATTTTTATAGTTGCTCTGACAATGTTAAAATTTTTGAAGCTGTATAAATAAAATCTAAAACTGTCATGCTTACTTACTTCCATGACAGCCAAAATATTTTATATCATTTCTCTTTAATTCTTTACTAACTACAATATCTCCACTTATCATAAGTAAGGAGACAGCAGTTCTGTAACTAATGTGTATGTTCTACAGAATTATCCCCCCAGGTACTGAATTTTGGAACAGATAGAGGTGGAAATTACAATGCCTTGTATTTAAACCTTGACAGAGAATGACTGAGTGCTATGTGTCAAACTTTATTAAATTCTATGTTATATGATAATCTGTTCAGGCGCCTATACGCTACAGACAAAACTACTGACACAAACTACATTTTGATACAATTAGAAAAAAAACCCTCAAGGCTCTTCTGGAATACTTTGTTTGATGTCTGATGAAAGTCTTAATAATTCGTTCTTTCTTTTCAGGAAAATTTTGAAGACTACAGAGAAGTCTGTAAGAAGTAACAGAAAGCCATCCTGTCAGTCAGAACTTATAAATACAGTTACTTTGGAGAATGTTTTTTTATAAGGAATATAAAATGTAGTCATTAAACTAATGTAGTCATGAAGTTTAAATTTACAGATTGAAATGCTTGAAAACATTAATTTTCTTGGTACATTAACAATAATCATCATGTAAATATCACATTCCCTAAAGGATTTTAAAGAAAAGCTGTGCTGAAACTTTTATTATTTTTGTTTCATTTTTCAAACTGAAAAGTTCTGTGTTCATTAAATTAGTTGCTGGATTGAACAAAAACAATCTTACTGTACTCTTAGTAATTTCATAGAATATGCAATAGTGGGTATAAATAGCCTTTATTTTAGGAACAGGTGACACTAAACTGATTTATGAAAATAATTTGTACTTTTTCTTTAGTGCACCTACTTTATTGTATTATTTATCTTACTGGAAGTGTGCAATCTGTTATTTAACTTCTATTATTTCCTTCTGTGCAATAGATCTTGAATCTCCTCTGTATTTCTCCTTTGTTTACTCACTGACAGAAAACTCACAGTTATGCACAATGTAGGGAGAGTTTATTATCAAAGTTAAATTATCCTAACCTGTTCTGAGAAAATCTGTATTCTTCTCACCCCCCTCTCTTCCTTCCTCTTCTCTCCTTTCTCTCCCACTTCCCCCTCTGTCTTCCTCCTGAGCTTGGCAATATTTGAATGGTGTCAATTCAAAAAGTAATGCCTGGAGGTGACTGGTCTGGAGAGAACAAAAGTCACCTGAGTACCTGCGGTCTTCCATTGTGATGAATCAAATTCATACTTTTTAGATGTACTTGGCTTGCCAATTACCTGAGAACCAAACAATTGAATTCTGATTTGACATTATGTAGTATGCTAACAGCCTAAAAATCTTTGTAGCACTCTATCTGTGATCCATTATCCTAACAATCTTTGCAACCTTTGCAATTTTTGTCCACTGATTTAGCAATAATTTTACTGTAGTTTTAGAGTCAAGTAATGCTCTGCATTGCCACATAGGCACTGAAACTTTTAAGACAGTTTGTTATAAAGCACTTTTTTGTCATGTAGGAGAGAAAACACAAAGTGAAATCAGCAGAAGAATTTCCCTTGTTTTCACTGGCATTTGACATCTTTTATATAATTACTCCTAACCTCTTGGCAATATTCTTTAAAATACATTTGTATGAAGAAGTAAATTAAAACATAATTGTAATTTAATATATGCTACATATGTTCTGTTTACTTTTCCATTGTTAAAGAAATTGTGTAAAGTTTTCAAAATTAGTAACAGAACGGTTCTGTCCTGTGTGCCATAGTATTTTAAAATAAAATAAAATAAAATAAAATAAAATAAAATAAAATAAAATAATCATGTTTTGTCTTCTTGTTCCTAAGATGGTTTGTAGACAAGCACACACATACACATACTGTACAAATTTATCATGTATTTTGAAAAATGTAATTTTTCAAGATGTTAACAGCTCCAGATGAACTGATAGCTTGAAATTAATCTGTCAATGGTTTTTAAATTTTACTCTCAGAACAAAAATATACAGATATACTATGTTATAAGCATTTACAGGAAAAGGGAACAAGGAAAAAACAATCACTAAATGTGCTGTTATCACCAAGTGGAACAAAAATTATGACAATTTAAATGTTTTTCTGTTTGTTTCTTTTTCATGTTGAAAAGCATTGGTTTTAGTTTTTTCTAGTAAGTCTAAATAGGAAACTGTCAAACAGTGGAAAAGCTGTGTAAAATATTAGTATCTTATTAGATGCAAATTAGGTTCTACATGCTGAGTATGCCTAAGCCTGTTCATGATAATAATGCCTGCACATAGCCTAATTGTAAATTACATGATACTTCTGTTCCACAGAAACTCAGCCAACATAGATTATACTTGACAGCTTGAAGAAATGGAAACATCTAAAAACTGTACTACAAAAGACAGTCAAGTTTAAAACATAATTCACTTTAAAATACCCAATGCATTCACATGAGGATGCTATGTCCATATTCAGAGGAAAAATGCATGGAAAAGCATCCAAGCAGGTCTTGAATAGCTCTAGAGAAGGATACTCCACAGTCTCTCTGGGTAACCTGTTCCAGTGCACTGTCACTCCCACAGTATAGAAGTTCTTCCTTGTGTTTGCATTAAACTTCTTGTGTTCTAGTTTCTGCCCATTGCCTCATTCCATTGCACATCACTGAAGAGTCTGGCCTCATCAACTTCAGTCCTGCACTTTAGAATATATTGTCTCAACTTTTCATTCTGCCATGTAGCCACAGTGCTTATTTCATATTATTCATATTATTATCACAGAGCAAACAGAGCCCATTACAATAATTAAATTTACCAGATTTAGGACTCACTCCAGAAATATTTAAAAGCTTTTCTGTCTAGCTGGGAAGAACATACAAATGCGCATCTGCCAATGATTTCATTTTGTCTTCTGTTCTAAAATAGACATTTATTTTAAGAATTTAACTTTTAAAGATATGAGAGTCATACTGACCACTACTGAAGTTATTATATTAGAAGAAAAAAGTAATGAACTGAATAAGAAAGTATACAATTGTTCATGGGTTTTGTATATTTTTTATTTACAAGAAGCTAATTTTAAAATTTTTGATGAAATTTTGTTGAAAAAAAAACAAACTGTTATATCTCAGCTCATTTTTGCAGAAGGAATGTCAAGTTTCTTTTTTTAAAAAAACATATATCTCATGTATATGAACTAAGCACTTGGGAGGTATTCTTTTTATCAGTTAGGCATGCTAATCTATAGCT